CCATATTATAATATCGACTGAGATAAAAAAGAAAATGAAATATTAAAATCATGATGCATCTCGCTGCATTGCGCGAGTACGCTTCTAGTCTATTAAAATGTTTATATTATTAAACCAAAAATAAATTATTTCGTTATTAAACTTTATTAAATTATAATAAAAAATAAATTAAAAAATTACATAAAAATGAGAACTTTTAAATAGTTGATTTGATATTAACATTGATATATTTTTTTTAAAATTTTTATAATATTTTAAAATTTATATTTTATTCAAAAATAAAATCATTAATACTTTCTTAAAAACACATAAAATCATATTATAACATCGACATAAACAAATAATAAAATATTTATACTATATTATAAAGCATTTGACAAAAACTCTTAAAAACCATTTTTTATGCGTAAAATACTGTTTATTAATGCATATTACTTAAAACTCAAGATTACAAGTAGATTGTGCGTAAGTACAAGTTATTAAAGCTCCATATTTAAATTCGTGTAACTAACTGTAGATAAACATAATCAAATACATGATAAACATCTCATTTTAAAAAATCTAATATATAATTAGGATATTTATTGAGTTATAACGGAATACTTAATTATTATATTTATAAAATGTTATATTATTAAACCAAAAGTAAATTATTTTATTATTAAACTTAAATTAAATTACAATAAAAAATTAAATTAAAGAAATTACATCAAAAACAAGAACTTTTAAATAATTGATTTGATATTAACATTGATATATTTTTTTTTCAAAATTTGATGATATCTTCAAATTTATATTTTATTCAAAAATAAAATCATTATTGTTTTCTTAAAAACACATAAAATCGTATTATAACATCTACAAAGACAAATAGTAAAATAGAACATTAAAACCGAGATGTGTCTCGCTATATTGCGCAAATACTCTTCTAGTTTGGTATGAATGCAGCCGATTATTCTTATAATTAATTAGCAAAGTGAATATTAATTATGATTTTCATGAGCGAGTTAAGTGCCGAGTCAATACCTCTTACCTTTAATTTCTCATCCCACGAAAATCTTTGAAATTTTCATGCCAACTCATCATCTTTCCAGAAACCAATACCAATTAACTGAACAAACACTCCCTATCTTTTCACAATTCATCATACATTTTCTGATTTCATCTCATGGGTAGCACCTATGATTCTAACCCCTTTGATGGAGAAGAACCCGACACCTTTGCGGTATTCTCTGAGTTTTTGCTTAATCTTACTTGTTCTTCAATTAATTATCTGAATCATATATATCTTCAATCATATATGAATGCCAATTTTGAATGTGCTGAATCATCCATCCATCTGCTTAAACCTTGAATTTCTAATTCTTGAAACTGTATAAAGATACATCAACTGTAACACTGATCAGATTTTTCTGAATTCAAATAAGGAGACATATAGAAGAGGTTTGATTCAGCTTATTACTCATCATTAATTAATAGAATGCACCCAGAGTGTGTGTTTTCGCAAACTATTGAGCAACCGTAGGGAGAACAAGACCGATAAGCTTTTAAACAATGTAGAACTGGGTGTACAATGTTTGCAGCCTTTGTCATTCTTGCATCTGTTCCTTTTCTTTGTACTAGTTGATATGAAGACAGTGTAACGAAAACGTTAACTAAACAATGTGGCCAAAATCGTTATGACAAAGCGCATCTAATGTTAATTCGATGGATTTAAGTCACGTTTTCGTCACTAGTGATGACTTATGTTTCTATTGATTGTTTATACACCACCTCGGCTCCTTTGCGCATGAACCCGTCTGTGTATTTTCTAGTTCTCTTACTTCACCTTAATTTCTTTGAGTTGTTTCTTCTTCTGATCCGCAACTGTCTTAATAACGAGTGTTCATTTTATCTGCGATATGAAAGCATGGGAAAGGTTCTTAATGTACCGTTTCTGATTGAATTACGTAAATGATTGTTTTTTTCACAAGAAAGATCATCAACTAACTTTGTTTTGTGTTTCTTGACATGTTCTAAAACCCTATTCTTATGGGTAATCATCAGAACTCAAGACCAGAACCTGCTGACTACGGTGGTGGTTCTAAAGATGATGTGCCTCTTAATAGTACCAATGTAAATTCTAAAGTTTAGATAGCAGACAGTTTCTAGATCATCCATTAGGGTAATGGGCTTTATGTTTTTCACACCTGTTTTTCCTGGGCTAGGATTTGAGAGCGAAGGAGAAGGAACTCGAAGCCAAGGAGGCTGAGCTGAATAGGAGGGAAGAGGTGTTTCTTCTTTCCCTTTGACCCTTTTGTATTTTAGTAATTTTGAATCTAGAAATACATGCAGATACATGAACTTTCTAATTAAGATAACCTACACAGACATATACTTTTCTATATTCTCGTTCTTCCGTTGTATCAACTGCAATCTTGATTGCAAATCTTGTCTCTAAAGATTGTGTCTTTCTTCTTCTTGCACTTCATAAATGTCATCAATCTATACAGTGGTCTGTATTTTGTACAGGAACTAAAGAGAAAGGAAGATGCCATTGCAAGAGGTAATTAGTGTTATTTCTAATACATAAAGTTTGCTTCTAGTTATTCCAATAGTTACAGATTTTCTACATCATATATTATTCAGCTAGGATTTTTCAAGAGGAAAAGAATTGGCCACCTTTTTTCCCTCTAATTCATCACGACATTCCGAAGGAAATTCCGCTTCATCAACAAAGAACACAGTATGTTGCTTTCACAACGTTGCTAGGTACGTAAACCATTTCTAGAACTGAAACGGCACTAGAACGCGTGAATTCAAAACAAAAAGTACCATTTCGTGATCAACATCGAATACTAGATTGATACTTTAGTTTCTTCATCCCATGAAAATTTCAAGAATCTTTAACAAAAAGGATTCTAAAGCTTGTGATATTTTTGTAGGTATAGTAGTATGTCTCATATGGAATCTTGTAGCAGTGACTGTTGCCTGGATTGCAGGCGAAGGTTATTTTCGTTAGACGACTCATACAACCTCTTGACTTAATGCTAGATTATATCTAATTAAATACCACTGACACTATTTGCTCCATTTTTGCAGATCCGGAAATTTGGTTTCTTTCTGTTATCTATCTCATAACGGGAATTCCTGGGGCTTACGTCTTGTGGTATCGTCCATTATATCGTGCTATGAGGTATAATCAATCTGTCTGTTTGGATTAATCAGTTCGTGTAGATTGAGAAGGTTTTTTTCTTGGAATGAGGGTGTTCTTTAATTGGGAGGGGCGGGTATGAAAAAAAACTTGGTTTTCTGCATAAAGTTCCTCCTTAGAAGCTTACTAAATAAGTCACTCTATATCATTAAGCCACTACCAAGCAGTCTTCTAACTGATCGAATAAGCTGTGAGTTCCAGTAAACTCATTAAGCTACTAACAACAACCCTACAGACCCTAAGTAACTAGATAAGTACTCTTACCTTTTAGAAAAAAAGATATTATCGCTTGTGCTTTTCTCAACAGGACCGACAACGCTTTCATGTTTGGATTCTTCTTCTTCACATACACAGTAAGTTTGTACGGTTTTAATTGTTTGTTTTTGGCCGATGAATTGCATTCAGGTGGCTTAATCTATTAAGATTTTTTTGGTGCAGTGTCATATTCTCTTCTGCCTATATGCTTCTATTGCTCCTCCTATGATCTTCAAGGGGAAATCTCTTACGTAAGTTTCCTTTTCGATGTCTTCTAGAAATCACATCTAACAACACTAACGCATAATGTTTACAGAGGGATTCTACCGGCGCTTGATATTTTACCCGGTAACACTATAATTGGGGTAAGCTCTCAACTTAATGTTCTTGTTTCATGTAAATTGAATCATAAAACAATAAACAAAACTAATTAAGGAGGTAATTTATGTGTCCATTTACAGTGTTTCTACTTTGTTGGATTTGCATTCTTCGCTATTGAATCAACGATAAGCATCTATGTCATTCAGGTTCTTCTGCATAACGATGCTTAATTACACTCGATCGTTAGGAATTTCTAGTCTTTTTGTTGCTTCATTAATGTGTTGTTTTTGTTTGTGTAGCAAGTTTATAGGTATTTCCGTGGCAGCGGAAAAGCTCAGGAGGTGAAGCGTGATGCTAAAAGATCGACTACGATGGTAGCATTATGACATGGTTAACTAGAGACTTTTTAGAGGGTTCTCGGTGCACAAACTACATTATTTTCTAGCGATAACGAGAAGGACCAATCGTGTGATTGGCTTTTCCTAAATCTGATAAATGGTAGATCTTTTAGCTCATCTTGTAATTTGGCTTTTCAAATCATCTAATAAGCTATTCGATGTTAGGATTCATGCGTGTCTTATCGATGCAACGTACAAAATCAAAACAAACGTTGGTTCAGTTGATTCTAGGAATACCCAGGAATAATCTCTTCTAAACCTCGTTGAGTCAATGAGTACTGAGATTTAGGCACAAACTCAAATTCATGGTGAACTCGGAATCTAGCAAAGGACCATGGTCCGGGATATTCATTAATAAAAGATTTACTTAGGGGCTGTTTGTTAAATGCTTACCCGGTAAGTACTTACCGGGTAATATTCCTCGCCGGATGAACATGGCAAGGGCCAAGAAGTTTACCCTGTAAGAGCGATGATAAGGATGGAGTTACCCGGTAAGTGAGGGTGACGACTCTTACCCGGTAAGTGAGGGTGGCGACTCTTACCCGGGTAAGCGCTTACCAGGTAAATTGTTGCATAGGATACGTTTTGATGTACTACAATCTTACCCAATAAAATAAATTATAGTGTTGACTCCTAACGTTAAGCACTTATCGGGTAAGTATTTAGGTAAACGGCCCCTTAGGTGAATTATATTTATATACTATATTATAAAGCATTTGACAAAAACTCTTAAAAACTATTTTTTATGCTTGAAGTACTGTATATTGATGCATATTACTTAAAAATGAAGATTACAAGTAAATTATGCATAAGTACAACTTATTAAARCTCSATGTTTGAATTCGTRTAACTAGCTGTGGATAAACATAATCAAATAGAGAATAAACATCTCATTTTATAATATATAAAATCTAAAATATAATTAAGATAATTATCGAGTTTTAACAAAATAATTAATTATTATCTTTATAAGAAATTATATTATTAAACCAAATATAAATTACTTTGTTATTGAACCTAAATTAAATTATAATAAAAAATGATTTAAAAAATAACACAAAAATGAGAAATTTTAAATAATTAATTTGATACTAATATCGACATATTTTTGTCAATTTTTTATGATATCTTTAAATTTATATTTTATTTAAAAATAAAAACATTATTTATTTCTCAAAATCACATAAGACCATATTAAAATATCGATTGAAATAAAAAATAAAATGAAATATTAAAATCAAGATGTATCTCGCTGCATTGCGCGAGTACCTTCTAGTTGTGTGTATATATATATATATATATATATATATATATATAAATTAAGAAAAACAATGTTATTGAATTAAGAAATATTTTTCTTTTTTTTATTAACCTGGATATTCAACCCGCTATGCGAGCCGACTAATCCCAGGACGACCACCTGCTTTGCAGATAGTCCGAAGTCACCGCATTTGAACCTCCGTGACTGCAAGGAGATTTTTATTCCTCCTTGGATTTGAACCTGGTATCTCCTGATACTTTTAACCTTTAGAGCCAAGATCAAACCAAAGAGACACCAATCTTACGATTGAATTAAGAAATATTGTGATCAAAGATATAATCATATCTTAAAAGATATTTTAATAAAAGCAAAAACAAATAAGTTAAAACTTAAGAACACGTAGGCAAAATTGCCCATGCTTTCACAGCGGTTGGTTAAATGCACCCGCACACGTGTACGGTGTATTACAGTTGCGTTTCATAGTTTGGAAACAACAGTTTGCAACGTCAGCTCTATTTAATGCAAGATAACGTTGCCGTTGCCGTTGCCGTTGCCGTTGCCATGGAATGTCATCAAAAGTCAACCTCCAATGTTTTGACAACATTTATTTTACTTTTCTACATTTTTGTGTATGTGAAAATTCAAACATCTAATTTTTATTTTAAACTAGTTGTGTAGCCGTACAATACGACGAGAGCTATGAATTTTAACGATTTTGATGTTTCATTTTTATTAGAGAATTTTTAATGATGATATAAGTTACACTTGGTTTTTACATATTAATACAATTGGAATAAATAAGAGTTATAGTTCCAATTACAGTCTATCGATAAAAAAATTGTATGACAGTTTAAAATCCAATATATTTAAAATCCAACATATTTAAACGACTCCATAAATATATTCGATTTACACCAAGATCAAAGAATCAAGAGATCGAGAGCGAGACCGAAAGTTCTAAAGCAATTGAATGAGAGAACTTTTAATAACTCATGGTGAATATCAGTTTGAATCTCACCTTGGGGGGATGGGGAGAAGACATAGAGGTATGAGAGGGTGAATGCATGAGTGAAAAGTGTCAAAAATTTCTTGGGAACATGAAAAGAAAAGGTAATAATGTGCATTGATAACTTGTACTATATGTTATTTTAATTGTTGATTAAAAAATTTTAAAACTGAATGCATAAAGTAGTACTTAATGCATTATGAGTTGTTTTTAAGACTTTTAAAACTTTGTGCATAAATGTATAGTACTTTATGCATTAAAAATTGTTTTTAAGACTTTTGATAAATCTAATTTATAAGGTAGTATAGATAACATAGTTATATTATTATTTTTTAAATATTACATTTAAGTTATCTGTATGGGATCGGTTGGAATTGTCGGTAACCAATTTTTTTATCCAAATCAAATAAAACATATTTTTAAGAAAATGGAAAATAATGTTGCATTCTTAGGGACTGTTTGATTTGTCGGAATCCGCAGGAATCTGATGAAATTGAAATGGTCAATTATGTTGACTAAATTCCATCCCACATTTGGTTACCCATGAAATGGAATTGAATTCCAAAGATTATTTCATTTGTGGATTTCACCATTCCTTTACAAACAGATGAAATTGAAATCCATTCCACCAAAAAGTTAAAAATGACAAAAATATCCTCGTTACATCTTTAAACCCTGCCATTACTGCTTCACCTATCGAACGACTCTTTCCTTCTTCATTGAACGAACACCGGTTTCTTTGATTGAGCTACAAGTAATTTTTTCTCCATCTCTCATCGTACGATTTGTTCCTTATGTTTCTCCACATCGATCGACTTCTTCCTCATTGGACTGGTCTGCTTCATTGATTTTATTACTGTTTCTGCTTCCTATGGACTGTTACTGCTTCATCGACTTCGTCACCTGGACTGTCTCCATCAATCGAACATGTGGGTTACAATTTGGACTGGTTCATGGATCAACTCCTTCAGATTTTGCTACTGTATTTAGACCATCACTTATTCCTTCTCTATTTTTGTTCTTGATGTAGATGTAGATTACGATCTAGACTGTGTTATTATGGGGAAGAAGAAGTAAAAAGGGATGTTGCAATGTTCAATTTGTACTTCAAAGAAAGAGTATTTTTGTCCTTTTCTTATCATTTCATTCCAATTCTGTTGCAAACCAAATAGACAGATTCCAATTCATTAGACATATTACATTCAGTTCCCGCCAACCAAACACTTGATCAAACATGATAATATTTCATTTCAATTCCTTTCAGATTCCAATTTATTTGACAGATTTCATTCATTCAGAACTTATTCTGCAAACCAAACATCCCTTATGATCTCTCTTAAGAAGGAACTAGTTGTGTCCCCACGCAATGCGGCGGAAGCCATGAATTTTAACGATTTTGAAGTTTCACTGGTTTTATTAGAGAAGATTTAACGATGATATAAGTTACACTTGGTCTTTATATATTAATACAATTTGAATAATATAAGAGTTATGGTTCCAATTACAGTCTATGGATGAAAAAATTGTATGACAATTTAAAATCCAACATATTTAAACAACTCCACAAATGTGTTCGATTTACACCAAGAGCAAATAATCAAGAGATCGAGAGCAAGATCGAGAGTTCTAGAACAATTGAATGAGAAAATTTTTAATAACTCATGGTGAATATCAGTTTGAATCTCACTTTGAGGGATGAGGAGAAGACATAGAGGTATGAGAGAGTGAAAATATAGGTGAAAGGTGTTAAAAATATTTTCGGAACATGAAAAGAAAAGCTAATAATGTGCATTGGTAACTTGCACTATATGTTATTTTAATTGTAGATTTTAAGACTGAATGCAAAAGTAGTAGTACTTAATGCATTATGAGTTGTTTTTAAGACTTTGTGCATAAATGTATAGTACTTTATGCATTAAAAACTGTTTTTAAGACTTTTGATAAATTTGGTTTATAAGGTAATATAGATATCTAAAAAGTTTTAGAAGAAAACGTATGATTTATTTCTGTAGATTCCTTTGATTTCCTTCTAGAAAATCAGGTACATTCCAATCTTTTTGGAGGCCCTGCTACATCCAAAACTTTTTATTACATTGCATAAAGAAGATAACAGATAATATATGTTAAGAACAAAAATGAGCGAAACCTAAAACGATTAACAATTTGAAACTAAACTTAAACTATTAATGATTTGAACAAAAATGAGCTAAACCTAAAACGATTAATGGTTTGAATCTAAATAATTTCGGCTATAATTTTATACAAATCGATAAAAAACCCTATACACATATAAATTTAAGCCCTATTTAAAATCTCACATTTCACAATGACGGTTACGTGTTGGACGATTGGTTTACAAATCATTGGAGGCATGGCGGCAATTACAGGAAACATAACCAATAAATTAATTCTCTCCACATTTATCGTCTTTCTATAAATAGTAATACCCAACCGCCAAACCCTTCCACCTCGACAGTCCACAACATATATATATATATCCACCTTGTTTCATTTCAACTATATAATCTTCCATATTCACACACACTCACATATACATATATATACGTATATATAGCTATCAGTTAACGGTATCGAATAATATACATATCACCGGAGCTTAATCAATCAGGTGAAAACGGTATTCATAGAAGATGGTGTGCTTTTGTTTTCTGGTGGATCAGAGAAGACAAGTGAGGCGGTGGAAGCCGGCTGCGGGGCTTTGCTCCCGGTGCGGCGGTGGAGCATGCATTGCAGACATGAAGACCGCCACCAGGTTTTGCCACGTTCCCGTCTACTGGAAATCATGGAAAGCTATCATGTGTACCTTCTGTGGCGCCATTCTCAAATCTTACCATTAAGATATCATATATATATATATATATATATATATATATATATAGGGTATGATATATTTCAAAGGCAATCTTGTCTATTTGTATAACCAATGTAACACAATTAATTAAAATATTTATGAAAATGATGAGATTAAGATTGTATTGGTTGTACAAATGTATATGGTTGTATAATAACCAACATATATATATATATATATATCATGATTTTTTATGTAATTGATTTCATTTTCTTAATTAATTGAGGGATCTTGAAATCGACATTGCCAACACTAATGTATTAATTTCTCCTGTATATTAATTGTAAATGAATAATTGCGTTCAAAATTAAGATTTCGTTTTTGCATTCGAATACGTTTTTTTAATTAATCTAGATAGCTAACCTGCTAATGTGAGCCAACTAATTAATTCCAAGATGATCATTATTGTATAAATCAAGACATGAAAATTAGAAAATTATAAGTTCATATAATATGTTTTATAATTTAAATAAATAAAAAGAATCTTGATTTCGGACCCCGATCACATGAAAGATTTCCGTCCACATCTTTCGGGCCAATATCAAGATGTCTTGGATTAAATGGCTCTAATACGGGTGTTAACGAGATAAACCTAAAATGAGTGGTAAGAATTTTGGTTATGCTCAAGCTTCAATTGATGTTTATCATAATTATGTTCAAGCTCGAGCTGAAATAAAATATCAATGTTTTTGCAGGAGATCGATACTCATTTATTAGTTTCAGTATTTTATTTGACATAGAATTCAAGTTTGATTTGTTCATTTATGAGCTCGAGTTTGAACTTGATCTCATGAACTGAAATAAACCTGTTTTAGCACAAAACTCGATTTTTGGAGCTCCAATTGAACCCGTGAAACATATTCTTCAGTTTTAATTAGATAACCTTTGTATGTGGTATACTCGCACTTTTGGGAATACATGAACTCCAAAATATATTTTTGAACATATACAAAGCTTATACGGACGACTCAACAAACCTAAACGAACGTTAGTCGATCTGAGCCAAAAGTCGATGTTGAAACGTTTAGCTTGTGAAATTATTTAAACACCATTTTTGAGTGTGAGCTTGAGCACCAAGCTCAAACTCGAGCTAAACAATCTTGAGCTAGAGTATTTTGCTAATTGCTCAAATCTTAAAATACTATTGAGAAACATTATAGGAAACAATGAAATATGGTGTGATCTTGAAGATCTTGAAGATCTTATAAAGTATCTACAAATGCTAACTTTTAGTTTGTCAACCTTACTAAGTAGATCTTGAAGATCTTAGCTCCTTGAATATGGAGAGATGCGCATGTCTGTACGACACACCAATTCGGATGACATCTGAACCTTAGTACGAATTTGCAAAAATTCCATATCTCTAGGTAATTATGGAAGATTTTTAAATCCTCCTTGCATCATTCAAGCCGTATTTTGAATCCGTTCATCACTAGATAAAAAATCTAATATTCACACACACAAGCGATCAACTTGTCCGCGTTGAGTTAAAGATTCGACTTGAACGACCAAACTGAAGAGTTAGCAAAAAGTGGTAACACCCAAGAGTAACATTTTGACCTCTAGGTTTGGCTTCCACCCACACGCAGGGGGCTTAGTTACTGTTCATAAGTAAAGATATAATGGAAGAAAAGGAATAATCAAACGTCAAATGCATTAAACGGAAACTTGCCACCATGGTCACGCACCATAATGGTGAACATAAACTAAATATTGCAAAAATTAAACTAATTAAAAAACAAACACAAGAACAAAGTAATTCTCAACTGAGTCTTGATGGTGTATGATCCTCCAAATGAATTGCCCAAGCTCCCTTTATACATAGGGGTGAGCATAGACGGGTACCCGCCCTTTTTGACAGGAACCAGAACCGGCGGTTCTTGAGATATTGGAACCGGAACCGGAATCGGTTAGAACGGTTCTTAAATTTTTGGAACCGGAACCGAAACCGCCAGGAACCGGTTCCGGGTACCCGCTTTTTAAAATATTAAAATTTTGTTATTTAGAAATAAAAAATAAAATGTTGCCAAAACACTAAATAAATAAGCAAGAATACAAATTATATATAATAATGGTTACAAATATTGTTTAACGATTACAAACCATAATAGACTAATAGAAAATGTTCAAAGTTTAACGATTACATACTATGAATCCAAGTGAACACACAATTTTAAAAAATACGAATCATTCTATATGAAGAATTTAGATGAAGAATGAAGATGACGGCGTGCTTTCAAGATGTAAACCTAATATAAATTTGGTATTAAAAAATAATAATTATTTTTTTATTTAAAAATACCGGGTACCCGGCGGGTAACGGTTTCGAAAAATTGAGAACCGGAACCGGAACCATTCTCAATCGGTTCCGTATTTTAGGAACCAGAACCGGAACCACTCATATCGGTTCCAGTTCCGGAACCGGCGGTTCCGGTTCCATAGCCGGATACCCGGTTCCGCTGCTCACCCCTATTTATACAGTTGAAGAGATGAAAGAGATTTGACAAGAAGAAAGGGACTTTTTATGGTTTGTCATCTTCTCCAACTTTTTCCTACTTCGTGAACGAGACTTGAGAGAGGAGAGGGACCTCTCAATGGTGTCCTCATCGTCTACTTTGTCATGATCTCCCTTTCATCTTTGTTCTTCAATTTCATGAGAATCACAGGGTTGACTAAGGCTAAAATCTGCATCCTCTTGCATATATAGTTTGGGTAATAAATATCTTCGGTTACGGGATCTCAAGCATAGTGGAAAATAAAACTGCAACCCTCCAAAGATCCATATGAACCGGAATAAATCAGGTGTTTCGAAATTATACCTCACAGTTAGAGAGACGTTGAATCACTGCAACAAACAAGACTTGATGCCTCCACGGTATCTATGCAAACAATCTGAATCATTTGCCTTCTCTTGATGCTAGTCACGGTTTCAAAACTTAGAAAAAAAGGGAACATATACTGTTGGTGATTTTCAAGAGAGAATTGCAAGAACAACTTACTTGCATAAAATGTCGTATACATATATGGTTATGGAAGTATGGCCTAAAACCACAACCATCTCTACATCTCACTTGAGGGTAAGAGTGACTATACACCATCACTCTTTTTTTGAAGACCATCACTAGTCGACCAATTTATGTCCAACATAAATAATATATAATTTTTATTTAATTAGATTAAATCAATATAAATCAGATATAATTAAACATTTATATTTATAAACAATGAGCGGTATCTACCAATACATCATCTTCACCCAAATGACGAGAATCGATGATACAATAAATTATCGGTTTGTAGTCATTTTTAGTTTACACATTTAATTCGTTTGTTCTTGATGTCCAGATTGAAAACGAGACATTGAATGTATCATTCAAAAAGGTACGTCATGAAGCGATATGGCGCAAGATGTGTCCCTGCCGTTATCAAATGGCCCATAGCATTTTCGTAAGGCGTGACTCACGCCATGACGTCTTGAGGCGTTCCATGGCACCCTGCGGTGCGCGTTTTTTGTAACACATGATTTTTTTTTCCATTTTTTTATCTTTTGTGTTTTTATACCTTTAATTTTAGATTTTACATATTTATAGATCTAACTAATCACATCACTAACAGTTTCACAAAATTATGAACGTTACAAACTCACTGTTAAATGAAGTTGTAAAATTACTTTTTTAAGTTCAATTTTAAATATTTAATCAAAAACTTATTTTTATAATAATAATCTATATGGTTTTTCTTCTTCTAATATGATGTACATTTTTAATATCATTATCTGATTAGATAATATATAGAAAACATATATCTACATATATAATTCTATATATGGCATACAAATTTGTCGTCTTATGTTACGCCTTGAAAAACATTGTGTCCTCGTCATGGCGTGTAAGGCTTGAGGCTTGACCTCGCCGCTACGCCATGCCTCACGGCTTTTTGAACCTTGTTTGATTCCCTAATATACTGATAAAACATATCATGATATCTCAAGTTAATCATCTGAGTATGCATGCATTTCCTCAATATATATTTATCAAGGGGCCCAGAGACATCACTCCCGTCATAAAGGAAAGATAAATCCTATCTTGATACCAGCTCAAAGCCTTTCCCCTTAACATTTGGAAGACAAACTTCACCTTTTTTTTATCTTCGTACTCGGTCGACTCGAATGCCTGCATAATCTCTTGTATCTAGTTCATGTAAGCTACTGGAATAGTGGTACCGAAGAACTATGGCAATTTGTTGCATAGGAAGGTCTTGTATGAGAACTTCCTTTCACCATGCTCTTTCTGAATCGTGTGGTTTTCTTTGGTTCTGACAACATTATCGGCCTCTCCAGAACAACCTAAGATATTCTTCTCCATGATCTCATGTCTAAGGTTTACTGTGTTTCTTTCCTTTGTCATTTTGACTGTTAGCTCGCATTGTGGATCCATGGCAGCTTCCATCATTCAGATCATTTGTGACATCATCTCAATTCAGAGGATTAATCTCTTGCATTACAGGATTAGAGATTCTAGAATTCACCCGAGGAATGTAGTCAACTCCTCCACCTAACACACTAGTTATCGGGGGTTAAGGAGGTAGCAATGTATTGTTCTTTCCCCTTGTCAGATCGGTGTTGAAAACGATGGCTTCTTGGCCATCTTCCGTAATTAACTGCCGGCTGCGAGTGTTTACCATGTTTAACTGTCATAGCCATGATAAACAATATATGCTAATTCTTTTCGAAATCAACGAACTAATTCGTACTACCACAATCATCAAACATCATAACAATAATAATTCTAAGCATGTCCAAGTATCAATAGATTCATAATAACTTTGGCCACATGAAATTTTGAACAGATCATAGATGAAAATCTTTTTTACTACCATCATAACGTTCAGTAACAGTGTTTCTAATAATCGCATAGATAACATCGCCCAAATTTCTACCCAATGTCAATAAAGTCATTGCTTAGCACATACTAACTTAAGTCTATGTATCCTACATTCATGCCTAGTTCACTTAAACTTAAGCTCTGATACCAACTTGTAACACCCCAAAAATTTGAAAATAACATTAAATTTAACATTCATTGAAAACTAGCATATTTCACAAAATTAGAGTATTTACCCAAAAAGGTATGTTCATAAGATCGCAAATGAAAAAAGTTAGCTATCAGAGTTTTATAAACTTCTATCTAATTCTTGTATAAATAGATTTAAGTCCGTGGCCACATCAACCAGCAAAGTTGCTATCTTCAAAAGGTATGATAACTCTCCAAAAATGCCGACCCGTTTGTGCCTCTAAATGGCACACCAATCTCTATTACTGGTCCTTGGGTCCAACCTCCAATGGCTCTTGAATGCAACAATGAATGCTCACAAATCGGTTTTAATGAAGAAATGAGATATGAGGTGTTAATGGAAAACCCTAGCTAAAAATCGGGTTTTAAACTCGCAGGGGTGTTCCCGTGACTTTCCCCCCGCTAAAGCCGTGACGAAAGTCGCCCGTGCCTAAAACTAAAACTAAAACTAAAACCAAACAGTGCTGCACGGGTTTGGCCAAGAGTTAAGCCGCAAACCAAGCCGCGTAAGCCATTGTTTTGCCTGCAGCTGGCCTCATTTGGTCCTTCAATCACCTTGATCTCAAATAGCACTAACCCAACACAAACATGGTTTTCTTACTTACAAAATCAATAAATATGGAGTGGGAAACATCAAATTCTACGAGTGTTACAGGTGGCTCTGTGAGTTAAAAGAATATAGACAACTAATTTTAAACAGTTCGATTGTTTATTTATTAAAACATGTTCAATGACTTAATCATTCAAATTGAAAAAGTTCAACGGTTTATTTATAAATTTTTTTTAGAGACTTGATCATTTAAAATGAGAAAGTTTGTTGGGTTTTATAAAACTTTTTCATATATATATATATATATATATATATATATATATAAATTAAAATAATTAATGGTACAATATAGTGCAGTTTGAACCACAATTAGGTAATTGAGAACTGCATAGTACGGCATCAAAGAACGCAAGCATCAAACTGTATTCCGAAAGTCCCATCGTACAATTTGATACGGTGTGATTAGAATAGGATATACGAGTCTGAAGGTAAAATGAACACCCCTAACAAAAAACTAGGGGTGGAATTGGTACGGTACCGACTTTTTTTTGCCAATACCGTGTACCAACTAATTATAATTAGTATACAAAATCTTATACCATGTACCAACCAACCGTAATTGGTATCAACTGTTTTCAGTTGGTATCTGCTTGTACCAATTTCAAGTTACATACACGGGAAAAAAAAATCAAAATGTTCTAATAAAAAAAGTTAAATGTAACAAAATGCAGTACTCAATATATGAATACGAAAAAACGAATTCAAAATAACAGAGCATTTCTTCATCCGTCGGATCTTTATATCAAAATACCAAACAACATCGTAAATTGCCAGTATTCTGGGCATTATAATTTAGGTTACGTAGTTTATGCAGTAAGATGAAAAATTAAAACAAAATTGAAAAGTTTTTATTTCAAATTTTAAAACCCAAAAAAGGAATATTATTGATTAAAATGATTGTAATTAATTAAATTATTAAATAAGTCGGTACCATAATATTATTGTGGTACACAACATTCAATACCAGTACCCTGTAGCGACCATGTCTAGACACTTCGTACGGTACTATCAGTCAAGTATAATTGGTATCGATTTAATTGGTACTGCTGATACACATGTTGACTGGTTTTGTTTGGTATGAATTTACCACCCCTACAAAAGAACCATTAGATATGAAGTTTTGTAATGGACAGATTGTATGAAAAAAATAACGTACTTTAACTTGATTCATATTTTTGGGTAACATATTTTTAAAATTTTTATTTTGATATCTAAAATGTAAAGCTTTAAATATTTAAAATACTCAGATAACCGGTTATAACATTAACTCGTTACCATGCTGATTTGGCAAATATTACTGAGTTGGATACCACATCACTCGCCACATCAGCATGGTAACTAAATACTTAAATGTTTAAAACTTTACATATTATGTACCAAAATAGAAGTTTTACATATTTGTTCTTTTGTAATTTATTTAATTTGTAAGGGCATTTCAGGAAGTTGAGCCTACTCAAAAAAGTTTTTATATCGTTCTCGTTCTCCTTCCAAAACCTAGCCGACGGCCCGACGCTAGGGTTTAAGACGCTCCGCTTTTCTATCTAACGCCTAAAACCCCTAAACTATTTATACTCCCTCCCTCTCCTCCAGCCATGAAGTTTCTTCTCATCAAAACCCTAAATTTGTTCACTGCGGATGATGGGTTATGCACATAATAACACCAAGATCAAACTAGAGCAAGAACCGGTCGAACTAGAACAGTTCGTTCAAGCTTCGCCTGGCCTCAAGAAATCCAACGTCTCCCTTGATCAATCTTTCATAGAGGTCGAAGATTTTCCCGACGCTTACCTCGATTCTATCCTAAGTTTTGACGATTGGGTTGAAGACCATCCAAATTTACTTGTCGCTGAAGTCATGAACTCAGAAGAGAACTCTAGTTTGGAGAAGTCTTTGGAATTTAAAACGGAAAAAGAAGAGGTTTGTGATTCTGGGAAATTAGGGGATTTGGGTTCTTTGATTCAGGAAGGAATGGGTAGAGTTCGTTTAACATCGGGTGCTGATGTGATTGATTGCGTAGGAAGTAGTGAGGTTACTGCGGGTGATGAAATCAGCATGAGGAATGATTGGAAGCAGGAGACGCAGGAGGTTGTGAGTGATGGAGTTGAGAGTGGTGAGGTTAAGAATGTCAATGAGAATGAAGCAAAAAATGATACTGAGAAAGGTGGGGATAACAAAGATGAATTGGTTGGTGGTGAGTTGGAGGAGTCTGAGGATTCCGAGGAGGAATCATCATCTTCATCATCTTCTAGTAGCAGTAGTAGTGATGATGAAGAAGAAGAAGAAGAAGAAGAAGAAGAAGAAGAAGAAGAAGAAAGTGATGATGATGATGATGATAGTGATGAAGAAGAGGATACAAAGGAGATAAAGAAGGTGAAAGGTGAGGTGGAAATGGAAGAAGGTGAGATAAGAGATTTTGAGGTTGAGGAAGTGGTTGCTTGGAGTGATGATGAAGATGGTGATGCTGTAAAAGGACCAATTAGGTCCAAGAATGAGGTTCAGGTAATTGGTAACTGTTTATGTCTTCTGTATATACAATTCATTATCTACAAGTTATTTGCTTTGTTGGTTGATGAATGTGTACATTATATATAGTTGGAGTCAAGTGATTCTAGTGAATTACAGTTTTCTTTTGTTAAATCTTGCTGCTGCTTAAGCTTTTTAGCTGTAAATGTATAGTTTCTTCAATGAAGGATAATGTATCAGCAAACAGAATGTGTCTTTGAAGCTGCTACTATCAACTTTATTTAGTGTGGATTCTGAAAAATAAGTGACCGAAATTGATTTTTCGTTATGGTGATGTAGACATGTAGTTGGTTCCCATTTACATGGGTCTATCTACATCCATGTTATGCCATGGCATCCGTGTTATGCCATGGCATCCGTGTTATGCCATTGCATCCGTGTTATGCCATGGCATCCATGTTTCTTAGTAGATCATAAGAGTGGAAGTGCATTGCAGTTTTTCTACATGATATTTGTTTATCAACTTGATGAGTAACTCTTTTTTCTTTATACCTTTTTAATTGCAGCAACTCCCTCCTGTTCCTCCAGTGAATGTAACCATAGAACCACATCATCAGACACTTCCAGTTGGAGTTGTATTATCGGTAAGCTTATTGCAAACAAAGCTCTGCTTTATGCAAACTAAATTCACAGGACTTTCAATTTAGTGTCCAATTAAATATTTGAGGTGAAGTTATTTGCTACTAGAAGGTAAAATTCCGACAGTACTATCAATCTCAAAAAGTTGTAACCATGTTAATACCATTAGGTAATGAATTGAGTGATAGTAAACACTTGCGTTATATGTTTAAATGTACATAAAGATGCAGAAAAAGGTATGAGCTATAGAGACTTCAATTGGAAACTTAAAAACATAATTTCGTTAGAAACTTTAAAGATATATATCGTTAGAAAGTTCATAAATACATTTTAGGGAAAATGCCGAAGGAAGAACATCCCCCTGCTCTCAGGTTTTGGCAACCCCTCTTTTGTAGCCACCAGCGGCAGAAGAGCCCCCTCCTCAGGATCAAGTCACCATCGGCTACCCCACCTTCCTGTTTTTCTATTGATCCATTTTTTTACATTTTGACCACCAAAAAGTCAACATTTATATGTTTTGACCACAAAAGATAAATATTTTTGTGTTTTGAAGACAAAAAGCTAACTTTTTTGTGTTTTGCAGACCAAAAGCTAACATTTTTTATGTTTTGAAGACCAAAACCAACTGTTTTTACCTACGACACTTGTGGATGTCCATAAGCTGACTAGTTGTTTGCATTTTGTACAGATTATGGGTGCACAAGTTATTGTGGAAGGAGTGGAGAATCATAACCCTCTAAGTGAGGGTTCCATTTTGTGGATCACAGAAAGCAGATCACCACTAGGAGTAGTGGATGAAATATTTGGACCTGTAAAGAATCCTTACTACATGGTACGCTACAACTCCGAGACTGAGGTCCCTACTGAGATCCAACAAGGCAGTTTGATCTCTTTTGTTCCCGAATTTGCAGATTACGTTCTAAATAATAACAATCTTTACAAGAAAGGATACGATGCATCCGGTGAAAATGATGAAGAGTTGGATGATGAAATAGAGTTTTCAGATGATGAGAAGGAGGCCGAGTACAAGAAAATGTTGAAAATGTCAAAAAGGGGATCAACTGAACAGAAAAATGGGAATATGAAAAAGGATAAGAAGTCGAGAAATCGGGTTGGAAACTGGAAAAATGATCACCAGGCTTCCCCTACCTCACAAGTAAATAGTTTTGCTGGTAGACCCCCCACCAGTGGACCTGGGGTTAGTCCAGCCTTTTCACCTGGTCCACCGGCACCTAACCTCACTGGGCCTTCTGGTGTTTGGCCAAACGGGTTTCCAGCAATTCAGCCACAGAATGTGGGCTTTCCTCCAAACAGTTTTTCTCCTAATGGGCTCCCTCCTAATGTACCATTTATGCAACAGAACTTTAATCAGCAATCATTTCAGAATCTTGGTTTGCCAAATTTAGCACCCTTTTATCCACAGTTCAACACTAATGGGCAGATGTTTCCTTCTAATTTTGGTCAAGGTGTTCCCCAAAATTTTGGTGCAAATCCTGCATTTACATCTTGGCCTGCAGGTATGCCTCAGAATAGCTTTAATCAACCACAAGTTGGGCCACCAATGGCATTCCAAGGCTTGCCTTTCAATCCTTCCGTGAATGTTCAACAATCCATGAATGTTCAACATCCGCAAGGAGTTGCAATGCCTAACCGGCCTCAAATGGAAAACATTAGTATGAGGCCTCCGATGGCTAATGGATTTCCAAATCGTGGAGGAAGAAAGCCATTTCAAAGGGGCGGTGGCCGTTTTAGAGGTGGCAGAAGTGGACAGCAATCCAGGTGAATTGTGATGTTGATGCATAACAATTTTGTAATTTTCTGATTAGATCTTCGACTTTTGTCTTGTGATACAAGGAATCAACTTCGCCCATGGCTTCAAGTTCTAGTTTGGATGTATAATTGATGTTAAGAGGATTTATATATATGGTTTTATTGTGTTCAATGTTATTGTTGTTTGTATTTTGTTATGAAATTGATGCCTCACCCTAACAAGTGATGGGGGCTGTTCAGTAATTGCTTAATGGGTTTAATAACATGTATGGCTTATTTGGCAAGCCATATATGGATGTGTGGTAAATCGGTGGCTTAATGGGGTAAGCTAGAGAACTTAGAGTCCTTCGGATTCTGCCATTTATTCATCCCTCTGTCCAGTAGACTTGTCTGAAAACCTGTCAGTTCGTCGACATGTACATCTAAACATCTTTATTTCTACAATCGTCAACTTCCTCTCATGGGTCTTCTTCGTTGCCAACATTCGGACCCGCTGGTAAAATTTGTCGTTCGGTTTTAACAGGACCTTGTCACGTAGCACACCGTGGCAACCTTCCACTTTAGCCACCCTGTTCCTATACGATGTGTTATGTCATCATCGACCTTACTTCTCTGCTGAATCATAGAGCCTAGATACTTGGAACTATCCTTTCGGGTACATTTTGCCTCACAATATTGACTTATACCACCTCGCCATAATTTTCCCATTGAGATTGCATCGTAAGTATTGGATCTTAGAGCGATTAATTTGAATGTTCGCTAATTTGAACGCCCAATAAAACCCCCAAAAAAAAAGTACATTGATATAGATGTTGGTCTAAAATTATAAAATTCTTGGTTTTCGTATAATTTACTCAATTCAAAATTTTAATAATTTTATAGTTAAAAATAAAGATGTAATTTATTTTTATTTTAATACTTGAGCACTTTTTTCCGTACAGATAATGATGTATTAGTAGAGATCAGTAGTTATCTATATTATCTTATAAAGCAAATTTATCAAAAGTCTTAAAGTCTTAAAATACTAAATGACCAAGATACCATTTATATACTTTTTCACCCCCTCCTCTCCTCACATACACTCACCCTCTCACAACCCATTTTTTTTAAAATTATAATTTTAAATTTACACTTTATACCTCTATAATTAGTTAATTAATTTACTTTACATCATTTACTTTTAAATGTTTCATTTTAAACCTTTATCGAATTAATATACATAATCGTATATCAATTAAAACATGTTTAAAAAAATACATTTTTATTTTAACAAATTACACCATTATAATTGTCTCTTTAATACCTTCGAAATGATGAATAGTTTTTGACTTAATTATATCATTATATATTATATATATTGTGAAAAAATATTTTTAATATTTACGATTTATACTTTTATAGTTATTTATATATATATATATATATATATATATATATATATATACACTATATATTTTAGGGGTAGGCTGTCAAAATTGCACTGTATTTTTTGATATATATATATATATATATATATATATACATGTATTAATTCAACCTTAATCTGAGTTTCTGGACAAGAAAGAGGGTAAACAGTTGAAATTTCATTCTAAAACTCATCTTTTTTGGTCTTTTCATGGCTTATGATCTGTTAAATTTGTAGTTTTCTTTATTGGTTTTGAGTATTTATCTTAAAACTCAAGTTTATTGGTTCTTTGCTCTTGGTGTAAATCGAACACATTTGTGGAGTCGTTTAAATATATTTGATTTTAAACTGTCATACAATTTTTTTCATCGATAGTCTGTAATTGGAACCATAACTTTTATTTATTCAAATTGTATTAATATGTAAAGACCAAGTGTAACCTATATCATCGTTAAATCTTATCTTATAAAACCAGTGGAACTTCAAAATCGTTAAAATTCATGGCTCCTGCCGCATTGCGCGGGTACACAACTAGTCATGTGTATATATATATATATTAGTTGTATACCCKTGCAATGCGGCGGGAACCGTGAATTTTAATGATTTTGAAGTTTCACTGGTTTTATTATAGAAGATTTAACGATGATATAAGTTACACTTGGTCTTTACATATTAATACAATTTGAATAAATAAGAGTTATCGTTCCAATTACAGTCTATCGATGGAAAAAATTGTATGTCAGTTTAAAATCCAACATATTTTTACGACTCCACAAATATATTCGATTTACACCAAGAAGCAAATAAACAACCCTCGTAAACCCATTTTACGAGTTGGATGACTATTTGTACAAAAGCAGAAAAATGACTATTTTATGTTCTGAACCAACCGAATTTTGGTGTGCATCCCTTATAAAATTGGAAAATTATTTAAATAGTCATTTTTAGGCTTTGGTTTCATTTTTTAGGAATTTTTTCTTAATATTTCAAAAATATCATTACATCTGCAAGTGACAACTCTGCAACTTGCGGAGGGGTCAAAGTATAAAAAGAAAGTTTTTGAATCAGGTCCGCAAATGCATGAACCAAATCTACTGGGTAAGATTTGAATTCACCAAAATGATATTGTATGTAACAATTTACCCGGTAATCGCTAATCGTGGTAAGAGTTGTCACCATCATTTACCGTGTAAGGCTCTCGATCCTTGCTTTCGCTCTTACCGGGTAAGATTCTTGGTCCTTACCATATTCATACCAATAAGGTAATGTGACTTGGTAAACGCTAAGCATTTGGTAAATGGCCCGTAAAGTGTACTTGTGTTTGGAGCCTGTTTTATACAGAATTGTAAACTAATCTCAATTGCTAAAGAAGGGATTTTAAGTGAAAATCAAAATAATAATTTATGAATTATTTATGATGAAAAATAATAATGAGAAATAGATAAGACCTACAAAACAGTTACAGAAAATTCTTATTATAATAGAGTTCATATTATTTTGATAAAGTGTCCGACGACTATGCAACTCGCGAAAGTCAAAACCATGCAACTCCCTTTTATTCTCTTTCCTTCATTGCTAAAGAAGGGATTTTAAGTGAAAATCAAAACCCACGTAATCCTATTCTCAATCGAAACCCACGCTAACCCCGAAAGCCCACCAAAATCCTCCCATCGATCGACACCTTGCTCTTTGTCCTCCCCCCTGCAGACATGCTTTGAGAAGCCAAGAAACATCAAAAGACAACCCATTGAATGAATTATGATTTTTCACAACCGTGACCAGTATAGAGATGCATCAGCGCAATAAGAATATTGAAAACCCACGAGAGGGGGGATAAATACCCATAATGGCCGAAGATGAAATGGGTTGACTTCGTGTTTGATTCGCGTACACCGGTGTAGCAGTGTGTTGTAGAAGTGATGGGAGCACTGATCACAGAGGGGAGAAGAAAAGAAAAGCAAAAAAAAAAAAGGAAGAACGACAGGAGACGGTGGTTGATTTCTCCAGTGGATATGTAGTCGTGCATATCCACTGGAGAAGCAAACGGGGGGAAGGGGATTTCTTGACAGGGACCTGAATGTGTCTATATATACTGTATATATACAATATATATATAGAGGACAAATCAGATACAAACAATGAAAAAGTTACAAATCATACAACCCAATCAATTAAGATATTTATGGAAATAATTTATTATGATTTAAATATTTATGAAAAATGATTAAAATTTATTAATTAAATATTTTGCCACCTGTAAAAAGAGATGGTCTAAGCACTAGGCTGCAACCTCATAAATCCTATATGATGTGAAACACTGTGTTGAGGGATGATTGGAGAAGGGATTGACTTTCATGCAAATTTATTTTTTATTTTTATTATATAAAATATAAAAATACAAGATTCTTTTTATCAAACTACTTTTTTTATATTTTATAATTATATAAAATATTAATAAATATTGAGGATGATTCCTAATTTTTAATTATTAAAATATATGTCAAATCAATTTTTTTTAAATCAAATATTAATAAACAATGATTAAAATTTGAAATTAAATAGCAAAAGTAGCTGGCAATCTGGCATCACTACGTAAACTTCATTGGATTCTATGGATTTAGTTAAGTCAATATTATCTTTAAATAAATTACATTAATGGTCTCATATCATGTTTAGATGACGTATTTTTAAAATTTTTATTTTAATATTTAAGATGTAAAGTTTTAAACATTTTAGTATTCGGGTAACCGATTAAAACATTAACCGATTACCATGCTGATGTAGCAAATGATGAGATGAAATTGGGTTGAATAACAAATAATACTAAGATGGATACCACATCAGCATGATAGCCGGTTAATGCTTCAACAGGTTACTCGGATACTTAAATATATAAAACTTTACATCTTAGGTACTAAAATGAAAGTTTTGAAAATACATTACCCAAAAATAGGAATCAAGTTAAAGTACGTTACTTTTTCATACAATTTGCCATTGAATAGTCTTTTTGTTTTTGTCACGTATTTAATGATTTCACGCGAATTGAATAGTGTGACTCTTATGACAACTTGCACCAAGTGAGCCTACTATAACTCTGAGGAACACTAAATAACAAATAACACAAGAAAACAAGAAGAAATGAGACTGGTTATTTGTATTAAATGCTTGATCGTACACACTTGTTTGGATGGTTTTGGCCAACTCTATAACAACTTGGATTACATGACACCGTATATGGCATTATAATATTTACGTAATAGAAATATTTAGAAAATATCTATATGGGTTCTTAAGTTTATAGAGAACTGTGCACTGTCCAAGGTGTGTCTGATATGTTTGTGGTTAAAGAAAGATAAGAATGGTGAAATTTGTCGGGTTATGAGGTCATACATGCAACATAAATAGAACGTAACCATAAAAAGGATCCATATGGTACATTAGTAGGAATATAAGCCGAAACATCTCCCGACTGGGTATCAAGCATTAACGCTGCAGAGAGAGGGATGGGGTTTCTCTCGCTTTTGGCATAGTGGGCCCCCCCATCTTTTGTTTCACAAAATAAATATTCAATTTTAATTCAGTAATAACTAAACACTTTAATTGTTCAAACTCTTTATTCAGATATGTTCTATATGTATCACTCATTTGGTTCTTGTCACATTGTTAATAATTATAAACCTCGTATTTATAATCATAAATGATTAGTGATATCTAACAATACATCATCTTCGTCTATGTGATAAGAATTGGAGATGTAGCATATAATCATTTCAACCTTTCAGGGTCATTT